AGGTCATATCAACAGAGGTGAGGAACCATCCCACATACAAGTAAACTTATAGTCTCTACCCTGACACTATATAAGCTTTAGTTTCATAGAACTCTTTTTGCAGGTCTTGAGACACACACACAACACACGCACATACACATACATACGAAGTAAACCCAAAGCCTCTCACAGCGTACATGTTTCATACACCGTGAGTGAATACAGAATTATGCAATCTTTAAAAATTTAAATCTATAACAGTCAGTAAAGATATCTGATGACACAAGCAAGGTATAGATATTAGTGCCTATTATCTCCCCATACTTTGAGAATACATTTTCTTTATTTGAACAGAATTTAATTGCATCCAAATACACTTGTGGTGTTTTCACTCAGAAAGAGACAAAGAATATTGTTACATTACCAGTACAAACATATTCGCACATACTGGAGCTAACCAGATATGTTAGCATGACATATGGTTCTATAATAGCTGGCGGCTATCTACAGTTGTATGAAGACATAAGAAGAATTAACAAATTTTGAAAAACAAATCTTACTTCTTTAAGCTTTCCATATATTCACCCATGGTGAAATTTTCATCCCAACCACAGTCCAATAAGAATTTGAATTCATCAACCTGTAGTAGATAGCACAGTGGACCTTCACTATATGCCCCAGACAAGGCTGTTAACTTTATAATGGACGTCATTCTGGCTAGTGATGGACAGATATCAGGTAAAAGTCATCAAATCCTAAAAAAAAATAATAGTTGATTTTATGGCCTCTCCCTGATGTTTGAGAGACAAGTTATTTTTACAAGTAAAAGCAATGTGGTCAAAAAAACTTGATTTTTTTATTTATTTATTTACTTATTGACTCTTACACAATCCCCAGAGGAAAACAAATGGTCACAAAGTACAAGGAGAAAAAAATATATATATAAAAAAACAATATACTAAATAACAAATACAATCACTAAATTACTAAATAATACAATATCTCTAAAATACTAACTATATAAAATTACTAAATTGACAGCAGGCATTAAGATGTCAAGTAAATCCCTGCTTCCTGACTTCAAAGCTTTTACTAATGAACTGTGATAACCTCTGTTCGATTTCTAGACATCTCGACCCAAAAATTTCTCGACCCAAATTGGACATCTCGACCCAGACACCCTGGGCATCTTGACCCACCGCATCAACCCGACCCGATCCGACCCTATCTAAGTGTGGCGACGCAAACCTCTATCTAGTTCAACGTTGATAATGTTGCCCTTTGATAACTTAAAATTCTCGCGATATTGCGTTTCGTGCTGTATATGAATGCTGTGTTTGAATGAACGACATCTATTGATTCGAAACATTGAAAACAGGGAACATGATCGAACCGAACCTTAAACGCAAATTGACCGCCATTTTTGGTTCTACCATTTAACGCGGTGGGTAGGTGTATATAACGTAACATCGATGTGACACACGTCGACACGGCACGAATACATTTCCTCAGTACGGCATTTTTTATTTTGTACAGCAAAAATATATATAAGTACGCCATGTCTCCTTACACAGTACGGCATAGTACTTTTCCAATTGAAAGGATATACAGCGTACATCAGTACCGTATGCATCTTTGTGAAATGAACAGCGAAAGCAGCAAAAAATAACAAATCAGTGAAATAAACACTGTGGTCTACGCGCACTGGGAAAAGTACAACGCTATTGGGAAAAGTACGACTATTGGGATCGGGTCAAGGCAGCGGGTCGTCTGAAATAGGTGGGTCGAGATGTCTAGGGGTCCTGGGTCGAGTTGTCCAATAAAAAATGGGTCGAGATTTTTTTGGGTCGAGATGTCTGTTCTAACTTCTGGCATTGGTACATCTCCTAACCATGGAGCTAAGAATAGAGCTTCATGTTCCAACGAAGCAGTTTCTTTATGCAATTACAAGCT